TTTTTTTTTTAATAATTATCAATATAAATTGAGATTAATCCTCATTTGCTTGAACGCGTCAGATTTTAAAATGACAGTGGTTTTTGGAATATTTAGTATGTCCAAGGGATTAGTCTCAATGACACAAAAATCTGCAGTCTAGCGATTATCATAATAGTCAAAGAGATTGTCGATTTTATCAAACTGAAATTTCAATGTGAACTGTCATCGACGAACATCGACGACAAAGAAACGGAAAAAATCATGACGAATTTTCTCGTCGATGGCACCGACTCTACCTGAATCGAGATAATTAGGTGTAGTTTGCGGGAGGAAAGAAGAACAAGAAAAAAAAGAGGTAATTTTACATTTTGCGAATACTCTAATTAACCCGTCTACGCGAAGAAAAAAACTTTAAATTTCGTGCTACCTTGGCTACGTTCACCAGCCACCCAAGTGCCAATCAATCAAATCCAAATTTCTCCCTAATTACACGTTTCTCCGAAAGATCATTCCGCACGGTCACCACCCGTCATTACGCTAGAATTTCAACGGACAAGTCTGTCATTTCACGGTCCCCGCGTACGCACAGGGTCTACTTCCTATCCGGTATATTCCGAGAACATATAGCCTTCAATTTCAACTTCTGTTAATACCGTTCCTAGTTATCATCCGAGGCGTATTCCCAAGGAAGCTGTCGCTTTTCAATAATTTATCCATACCTCCATTCACGTGTCAATATTAAATTTGAGAAACAAAATTCCTTCCTTATATAATCCATAATTGTACTAATAGTACATTTTCTGACACTCCACGCCTATATTTCTTAATATTCTATTATCTGTATTGTATTATCTTAATATTCTATTATCTATATGACAATGTTTTCTAACACTGCACTGCAGAGAATGGCACCTCGCTTATATGAACGTTTCTTATTAATCGCCGGGGGCAAATTCTTCCCTCTACCATTATTTAATTTCTCATCCGTATAATAAAACGAGCTCAAGTTCAAATATAGAACGGACCAGAAGTTTCTTCTCGCCTATTTTTTTTTTTTTTTTTTTTGAAGTAAAACATTGAAACAGAGAGAACTAATTTTATTAATTTTAAATTAAATTTGAGTTCAAACGTGATTTTTTTCATTATGTTTTAAAAATTATTTCCTCCAAATAATTTTTATATTTAATTATATCTAATGTAAATTGCATATTAAATTCTGGTTTTACATGAATTATTAACAATATATATAAAATATAATTATGGTTAAATTATTAATTAAATTAATATTTTATATATAATTTATTTATATTAAATATATATATATACACAATAAAATTAATAAAAAATTCTACAATTACTATTTTTAGATAGAAATATGGATTTATTTTAGTAGGAAATAATTTTTGGCCCACCCTGTAGAAGTGGATTCAACCATATAACTAATTGATTGAAACTTGATTCTATCTCACTTGTATTTCCTGGCGTTTTATTTCTTATATTGTACCGCCCGATGAAACTGAGTCTCGATGAGCATTTACGTTGCGACTGCCGCTGAATCCAGATCGTATGTTAATAACAGCGAAACGACGGCCGCGTAATGTGTCGGCAGCGAAAAAGAACGTATGTATGTATGTATACTTAGCGGCGGCGACCACCAACGTGGCCCAATAATGACGCGCATCTCTCGATTTTATTATTTTAATGCCGGTCCCGAGCGCCGCGGCCCACGCGACTCGCATAACACATTCGCCGATCCTCGCATGAGAGTCGTTTCATTCAGCCGCGCCGGTCGCCTGTCCCGTTCTTCTTTCCCGCCTTTCGCTACGTTTACAACTTCCCAAGCAAAAGTCGATCGTCTCGAGAACATTTCATCGGTCCAGATCGGAAATTTTGTCTGGAAAGCTGTGTAACATTCGATGGCGAAACCGAAGGAAATTATTACATATCTTTCACGAGTAACATCTTGCATGTTAATGACAGTTTTATTTTGGTTTCTGAGTAGTGTGTTTCCGTTTGAATTGTTTAATGTTTGTTTGGAATTACGTTGCAGGACAAGGGGTTGTAATATTTCATTTCTCTGGAAATTCTAAGGCGCTCCAAACTTCTTAGCGAGAGTTGAGATATCTGAATATCTAGAAGATTAAATTGACATAGCTTTTTTTTCTTTCAGAAGAGAATCAAAGGCCAAATCGATCGGCAATCACTCGTAATTAGACTGCGGATTTTTATGTAAATTCCAAAAATCTAGCAAAGAAAATAGAATCTTGTTAAAAAAAAGTTTTATATAAAATATATACTTTAAATACTTTATATACTTTAAAAGTTTTATATACCAAATATGATAGAAAGCATTACAAATTTCACAATTTGCACATTTTTCATATTACATTCATTTTCTATAATTCTGCGTTTACAAATTCCCTCTAAATGCATGAAAACCCGCGGTCTGCTCGTCGTGTTCCATCAAATTTCAACAAATTTTCTGCTCTTCCGACCCGATGTGATCCAACAGATCGAAAACAGAAAATTCTAAAGTGAACGACCTCCTGCGCGACCCGACAATCTCTCCATCGGCAAAGAAAAGCATCGTCGGCTCGCGGTGGGAAAAGGAGGTCAGCTAAAAATTCCACGCGCCTCTGTTCGTGCGAAGAACAGACGACGACGACGACGACGACGACGATGACGACGACGACGAAGACGACGTCGACGAAATTGCTATCAAAATACCGTCTCGTAGCGACGGAATTGCCGAGGCCGCGACGGTGTACAATGTAGGGGAAGGCAACAGACGCCTGAGATTTGTTTCGTAGGATCGACGTTTGGAATAACAAGCGGCCACTTAGAATTCCGCGGCCGATGACGACCGATTACGTGCACGTAGCGAGACCGGGTAGGTCCTGGACAGCGACTCGTCGATTCCGCTTTGATGTCCGCGGAGTATACCGCGGCCGGAGCCGGCGCAATGAATATTTAATTGGCCGTTGCTTCGGCCTCTTCGATTGTGTCTACTCACGGTACGTACACGTGTATTCACTAACACGATCGAAATTGGAAACATTTTTTTTTCGTTTCACGGTGAAGAAAAATCGGCGGAGAACGTTGACTTTGAAGAATATTGATTTCCAATTCGGTTGACGACGGTTTCATTCGGCGAATGATGCAGGAAGTGGCAAAAAAGGTTAGGAGGAAATACTTGTACACAATTATCTGTAGGAAGATCCGCAGAACCGGAAGCACGAAGGAAGCGAAGCATTTTGTACCTATGGTTGGGCAGAGAAGGAATAATTGACACGTTTCATTTGCAATTTTGTTCAATCGATTTTCATTATCGAATTCTGTTTTTTTTTTTTTTTTTTTTTTTTTTTTTAAAATATCGTCAAAGAAATTTAATTTCTTGCGCTGGAATGACGTGCCACGCACGTTAGGAATCTTTTGTCTCAAAATTGCAATATTTTCTCAGTTTTAAGTATATTTCAGTATAACCCAGGCAGAAGAAATAATAAATTTTGTTACCTCTCAATAATTTCTATCCAGTGTTATCACACCGAGTTCGAGAAAGAAAATGAAAGCGACGAATTATACCGTATACGGTTTTGGTCACTCGTTATGGTCCGCAATCAGTTGCCAGCGCAAGTGGTTCGAATTGCTTCAAATTCACCACGTGTTATCTTGTCTTAAAGATACTGTACTTGACAATATTGAACGTTTTAAAGACTGTACGTTATCCCTGCTGACCTAAAACGAATATTTCACGAGATACTAGCCAGAATATCTTTCACAAGCTACTAGCTAATCGATGCCCGACTATCCCGTACTCGACTTCTCTCTACAAATTTCTCCGTTTCTAATTACGAACGTTTCGTAACGGCGATAAGGCGATGTTCATTCGTGTGCATCAATCTGAATTGCGTTGACCTCCTACGAAAGATCGCGCTCGTATCCCATAAATCCCGTTATTAACGAGGCTAAGACGGAATTAAAGCTAATAAACGGAGCTGGCATAATTGCACGTAGCCCTATGAGTTATAACATCGATCCTACTGACACACGAACAAGCGTGCTAATAAGTGGTTGGCGAGCTTTTTGCCTGCACGCTTCGTGCTAACGTTTACCAATGGTCATGTGGCGTAACACGCGTCTCACGAGCTTGCTACTTGCCATAAAACATAGAAACATAAAATATATACCTAGATAGGTACACGCGCGTGTGTCGCACCTATTTTTGAAAACTTCACTGCCAGTCGGAGAAGAATTCATTCGATTCATTGATATTGCAAATAATTCGTTAAAATGGTAAGCTGAAGTGTCATTTATTGAAAACTCTTTAAATCAGCACTGTTCAATAATTGATGTACGTCAAAGTTTGGTATTCGAGACTTTACTAATCCTTAACTTTTCGAATTCGCTAATCTTGTATATATTTATATACATGTATTTTATTGTTTATTAATTTTTATTATTTACATTATACGTAATATCACAATATTACAAGTTTAACAAGACTAAAAACTAATTACCAAACTTCGATATCTCGTCAAATTATCTTTTCACCCTCCCCAGTCTCACTTTCTCAGAACATCCGAAGAACAAATTCTTACCGTTTTACGGTTCGCGGTGACCATCGTAGGTTACAATTGACCCACGTGAGAGGAACGTGATAATCAGACGGCACGAATGAAAGGAAGAAATGAAAGAAAAGAAGGGGAGAGAGGAAAAACGAAAACGAAAAAGGAAGCAACGCAAGAAAACTCGTGCATTCCAAGGTACTTTTTTGCCAAGCCAATTTACAGCGACTGTTACGAGCATCCTTTTTGCGCAATTTAATCCGAATTTGTCGGTATCAGAAGCCAACGACGACGCCACGAAACGCGCCAGGACTGCCAGTGTGTATCAACAATTACACGCGAAGACTTTCACCTTAATCGGTGGACACGTGGCTGTGGTACTACAATCTCGGAGACAAGGTGAGTTTGCTCGGTTGCCCGCCTGCTTGCTTGCTTGCTTGCTTGCTTGCTTACCTGCTGAGATTTTTTGTTGGGCGCGGTTTTCGGACACTCAGGGTCCGTTGGGTCGAGGCAGGGCTTGCTTTGGTAGCCGTTCGTTATCCCGGCCCTCTTCATGTAGTCCTCCAGAGTTTTGAAGGGAAACATGAACTGCAGTTTCTTCATCTCGTCCAGCATCCACATCGGATTGAGATTCGTCCACTGGACTGGCTTGTGCGTCTGCGTGCCGCTAAACCGTGGAACAATAATTGAAAAGGCGAAATAAATACGACTTGACTCTCCGATGATAATGGTAACGATCAGATCAGGACAAAATGGTAACGCACGACCGATGGCAATGATTAGATTAGTATGTCGGATCGTTGCAGATGAAACAAGTTCACATATAGACGAGTGAACTTTCATTGACTCTTAAATTACAACGTGCCACGTGCTCTGATGAAGTTCAAAATAAAAGTACCGTTATGCTTTTGTTATACTTACGGTATGTGCACAGGATACCCTGGCCCTAAGAGCTTGCTGCCTTCCCAAAAACAGTCAAGCGGCGTAATGATGGCGCACGGTATAATACTATCGAAGATCTAAAATAAAAAACATTCGTTACAATATTCACATTTAATTAAATAGGCTCACACTATGATATTCATATACTTGTACAAAAAAAAAATATAAACGTATGTACGTGTGTAGATAATGTTCCTTCTATTTATACTACAAAAAGAAAAAAAAATGTTACTTTGAAACGACAACAGTGGTTATATAGTTTATCAAAGAAATAAAAATCGAGTAACAGGTTTCGAGGACCAGAGAGAAATATCACACAGAAATATCGATCGCTATCGCTATCACGAATAAATCGTCGCGGTGAATTCTCTTATTCGGCAGGAATGGTTGCCCTAAGAATCGCTAGACGAAAGAAATTGTCACGCGTTGATGTATTTAATGGATTATTCGACGACGAATCGGTACGCTCACGGTCGATTTACGATTATTTCTCCTTTTCTTCGATAGCGGACACTAACGATCGCCATAAGGTTTTTCTTGGTAGCGTGGCATTATGGGAGGCCACCTGTGTGTTCTCGGAAACTCGAATAGGGCGGTCTCTCTCGCCACACCGAGGCGTTTCGTTTTTTCGGCCCCCTTGATTTACGAATAATATGAATTTGGATAGGATTCGGAGAACCTAGCGGACATTCGTTGCATTGTCGTCGCGGTGGTCTTGCCGAGTGGTGCGCGGCTAAGTTTCATCGAGAACGCGTTAAGCCTCCTCTCTCTCTCTCTCTCTCTCTCTCTTTTTCTTTTTTTTTTTCTTCTCCCACGAACGCCGATTGCGCTCGTTTTTCGCCAAGTTTTTATCGTTCGATCCGACGTCAAAGGGATGAATTTGAGATTTAAGCGTGAACGAGAGACGTTTACTAATTCGTAGGTAATTGTAGAGTATCGGTCGGAGAAAGGATGTTTGGAATTCGCATTTCGCGTTTCGTGCGAAATAAATGTTACGTGCCGCGAATAAATCATGAGATTTGTATTCAACGCTCGTCGTTTCGTATCAAACGCTTGTAGATTATATTCTACATTCATTTCGATTACGATTCAGTTCTCTTCTGTCCTTTCATCTTTCAACTTTCCTTCCGGTAATGAAGGGAATCAAGCACGAGTAACCATCATTAATAATACGTAACATATATAAATTGTTAAATTAATTTTCTGAAAAAAAAAAAAAAAAGAATCGCTCGAGTAAAACATCCATTTTCTATTAAAAACGAGTTATTTGTACCTTCGGTGTAGAAGGCACGAACAAAAGAAGCGAGGATCGAATTAATTAGCAATTAGTTTTGCATAATAACCGGGTATCAACGCGGACCGTAATAAATTGTGTCGTACGTAATCCATTATCTTTTTTTATACATAAACAGCAAATGCTGGTTTCCATGAACTAATCCTTATTCCTTCTCGTTCCTGGCAATAATAACACGTCCAAGTTCCTCATCCGAGGTGTCCCTTAAAAGCACCAATAATAAATATTCCAAGTAAAATCAGTAGCATTAAATACCTCAATTTCGCGAATATATTTATAATTAGGTTTAATCGATGGAAAATTGAATGTATTGCAAGATTATCGAGAACTACTCTTGCACGTTACAAGACCAGAAAGTGCCTGCAATGCTGCAACCAGATAGACAGATATGCAGATCAGTTGCATATGCATAGAATCCAATTTCAGTTGATTCAAAGTATATGTAGGATGATATAAAAAATGTTAAAAAATTGACTCTACAAAAACTCGATGAAGTAAATATAATTAATTTTTTGATTATTATACTTTGCATGTCTGATATACACATATGTATGTGTGTGTGTCTGTGTGTGTTATTTTAATTACATTATTTAGCATATAGCAATCTCATCTGCGACTGTAAACGCAGATATCCAGTTATCATTGGTAAAAAGCTGCGGTCGTATTAAAGTACCCTAAGCTCTGAGATAATAACGTTCCCGTTTGCCTGAGATACAGGACACCGCCGTGTGATTTAGTCAGCTGCTTCAGGCAATTCCTGCATACCGGAACATCTATCATTCAACAGAAACTACCAGATTGAAACATGACATTCGTCGATTCCGATTTCATATCATTCAATGCGATGTTCTAGACTTATGTAAACTGTTTCTTTAATTTTAACGCCGTTGTTACATCAAGAAGAAAAAATATACATTATCAAAATATTTTTAGAAAATATGCATTATCGGAGAAACCAAAAGTAAACAGACCAATGTTTGCAAATAAAGCGAAATTTCAAAGTTTTCGAAATTCCGAACGCAAATTTTCGAAAATTTTTCAAAATAAAGTGTGTTTAGACTAAAAAAATGTAAATAAACATTGGAAACCAAAACAAACAATCAAAAAAATGTAAATAAACATTGGGAACCAAAATAAACAGACCAATGTTTGCAAACGAAGCGAAATTTCAAAGTTTCCGAAATTCCGATTGCAAATTTTCGAAAATTTTTCAAAACAAAGTGTGTTTACACCCAAAAAATGTAAATAAACATTGGAAACCAAAATAAACAGACCGATGTTTGCAAACAAAGCGAAATTTCATAGTTTTCGAAATTGCGATTGCAAATTGTCGAAAATTGTTCAAAACAAAGTGTGTTTACACCAAAAAAATGTAAATAAACATTGGAAAGCAAAATAAACAATCCAAAACACGTAAATAAACATTGAAAACCAAAATAAACAGACCGATGTTTGCAAACAAAGCGAAATTTCAAAGTTTTCGAAATTGCGATTGCAAATTGTCGAAAATTTTTCAAAACAAAGTGTGTTTACACCAAAAAAATGTAAATAAACAT